AGCTCGCCACACGTCTGTCTGAGCCCTCCCGGCCAGGATCCCAGCCTCTGCTCCTCCTGAGCAGTGACGAGGCCCCAGGGGCGTCTGCATGAAGCTCCAGGCCTCCTTCCCGGAAGGGACCTCAGCGGCTCGCCTAAATCGGAGCTCAGGGCCACACCTATTTTCAGGCCACACCCTTTCCCCTCCCCTTTAGTCACTCCTTGCAGGGACCTTGCCAAAGCTGAGTTACGTGCCCTCGGCACCATTCCAGCCCGTTACTTACAAAGCTTTTCTTCATCGTGATTCAAGGTGTTTAAGAATGCAGAGCCTTAGGGTGGCATCCCAAGACTCTGCACCCCGTCCTCAACTTGAGAGGGACCCCTGGGCGCCTTCTGGGTCTTGACCCCATCTCTGTACAGATCTGGCTTGTATGGTGACTACAGCGGTTATAGGGAGGAGGGGATCGTTTCTCCAAAGTATACAAAAAACCATTTCTAATGAAGAATTAAGCAAATATCATGAAGTGGTTATAATTAAGAAGACTTTTTGAGAGAGTACAATGAACTATGTTATTAATAAAAAGAAGGAATTTTTATTTTTAAGAGTCAAGGAAACTGTTATAATTCAAGTAGAGATGATTATTGTGATATGTAGACTAACAGTGTTAATATTAAAAATTGTTGCTAGGCTGGTTTGGAAAAGAATAACCCTTAACTTTTGAATCAATTTATTGTATTTAAATGGATGCTTCTAAAGCTTACAATGCATTTATTCTCCAGTAGGTTAGTTATATCATCCACAATTTGTGTTACTGATTGGTTAGAAAACAATTTCTATCCATGAAGCAAAAAATTCTCCATTATCACAAACACTGGGTGATTTCTTTAGAGTAAAACAAAGAACACTTTTGTAATCATAAGGGATCACCTCAATGCAAAGCATTGCTACTAAAATGCGGGGAAAATTTTAATTAGCAAATATATAGGTTTAACAGAACTGGCCAGAACTGGTTGAAGAACTGTCCCCATGGGTATTAATTACTTTCATATCGTGTCATTTTAGCTAAATCAGATCCTCCTCTGTCATTGGGCAACTTTGTTTCTCCTCTGAGAGAATTAATATATAACAAATGTAAAAATAGGATACACATATTGCTTGAAATGCCTAACATGGCATCAAAATACAGGATTCAGATAATTTCGAGGGAAATTCTGATCCTCAGATGCTCTCCTGTGCGTTGGCAGATGCACGGAAAGGGGCAGCCATGCTGTCTTCGTCCCAGAGAGGAGTGAGGGACAAAGCACGATCTACTGAGAGTACTGGAGAGGGCTATGTAACAGAACATGATTCTTCATAGCACAAGCATGAAAATTACTGAGGGAATGCTGTTAATCTAGGTGACACAGTTTGTGCTGGATAAAGAGGCCAACTTCATCTAGGGAATCCCTTCTCTGCGCTGGGGTAGAGGACAAAGGTCTTAGCTAATTGGTCAACATGCCTTTCAGTTATTGCTCTGTGCTTTTGTTTATCTTTCTCTTTCTCTTCATTGTCCCTAGTCTTCCCATCATTTATAATCTCAAACCCGGAAATTGATACTTGTTAACCTGAATATTCTTTTTTTAAAGACAGGAATGGCAGGTCTTTATGTTTTAAATGTCCATTTGAGTGTATGCTCTACTTTTCCTTTGTGAATAAATGGTTATTTAAAAAACAAACTTTAATATCAAGTGTGGTGTCACACATCATCCCAGCTACTCAGAAACCTAAGGCAAAAGACCCACAGGTTCAAGCCAGCCTGAACCCGAATCTCCATTCTGATCCCATCGTCTTCTTGTATTTTTCTTTTAAGACAAAGGATGTTAATGTAGAGTTGCTCTTTCTAAACTAAAACCTCAGCATCCAGGTTTAATTGCGGTGTTGGCGCTTTGTGATAAATAAGTGGGTTGTAGGCTGCAGTCTGGCACTTGGTCTCTAAAAGGTTCGCCTTCACGGGTACAGTCTGTCTCTCCCATTTGATCACTGCTCAGTTTTACTTGTCCTTGAAGGTGTAGCTCTAATGTACTCTGCAAAGCTCTCCTTGAAACTCCGGTCTTCCGTCTCTTCAAGTCACAAGCTTTTTCTATAGAACTCTTCTCTGCGCCAATCTAGGGCTGTGTGACGTATGTGGCTTATTTACATGGTTGTGGCTTTTCTTAAGTACCTTGAAATATCCCTGCTAATAGGAATTTACCTAACCAAGGAAGTGAAGGAACTCTACAAAGAAAACTGTATACTCTGAACGAGAAGATTGAAGAGGACATCAGAAAATGGAAAGGTTCCCCTGCTCTGAGTTAGGCAGAACCAATATTGTCAAAATGGCCATGCTCCCAAGTCAGATTCAGTGCAATCCCGATCAAAATACCAACAACATACTTTACAGAACTAGAAAAAATAACCCTAAAATTCATATGGAGTCAGGAGGCCCAGAATAGCAAAAGTAATTTTGGCCAAAAAGAGTAAAGCAGAAAACCTTACAAAGCAATAGTGATAAAAACAGTATGGTATAGGAACAAAAAAAGTATGTGGGTCAATGGAACAGAAGAGAGGATACAGGAGAACCCCAAACATAGTCAACCATTTGATCTTTGACAAAAGGGCCAAAAGCAAGAATTACATGTAAAGTATAAAACTATAACGGTTTTACAAAAAAAAATCTTGAGATAGGATAGGCACAGACAAAGTCTTTTTAGACATGACATCAACAAGGCAGTATGTGAAAGGAACGGTTGATAAGTTGGATCTCATTAGACCTTCTTTGGTCCATTCATAGCCACAGACTCCCCTCAGCACTCGGAAGGAAAGGGCTGCTGACACCCAGAAAAGCTGGAGTATAAACCCGAGCACAAATCAAGTAGAGGAATCGCACCGCATCCAGGGTCCGAGTCAACACAGACGTTCACTCATTCAGCAGCTCCACTTTACCCTTTTGTGAGGACGTGAAGAAAGGAGGTAGCATTTTTGCTCCCTAGATATTAACCCCCTTTCTTCATCGCCCTTGTCTCTACCTACTTACTTTTCTTTCCCTTTGGCAGTTATTTGAAAGACTTAATGCACCAGATGGTAGTGGAACACACATCCCTGGTTCGTATTCTTTTATCAACCTCCCCCAATTCCAATAGCTCTGATGGGCACTGCCTGCACTCTTGAAGATTCCTCACTTTCAGCTCTGCCGTTTTCCTCAGAGACACAACAGCTGTCAAAACAACTCCAACCACCCCACTCCCACTCCTCAGTGAATCATTGCATTGACTGCCGTAGCTGTCCTGGAGCCTTGCACCCAATCCACATGAACCAATCACAGGCCTGTACTTGCTTGGGTCACTCTGCAGGTCCATATTAGAACCAATCATAGGCCTACACTTGGACCAATCACAGGCCCACAGCTGCTCTATAAGCAGCACTCCTGGCACTTCCTGTGTGGGCCTTGGCAGGCTCTCTCTGATGTGCTGACCTCCTTGTGCTGCCACACATGGGTCCTGTTGAAATAAATGATTGGTCTGGCGGTCCTGTAAATCTGCTTGTGATTTCTTTCTTTAGTAGTGTGGATGAGAAGCTCGTGCAAATCTACTCAGGATTCTGAGTACAGTAGTACAGAGAGAGCATTTGTTTTTAAGAGTGGTAAACAGGGGGGCTGTTAGCCCCACATGCCTCAAGAGTTCAGCACTCTGTGGTCAGTCGATGTAGCACCCAGCATGGCCCGGGGTCACCTGGCAGCACCCAGGCCACTAGCAGAGCTGTACTTCACTGATTCATGATCTCTGTCTGCACTGAGCAAAAGAACGCTCAGCTAATTATAAGACTGAAAAGGATCACTCATGGGGGGTGCTTAGAACATAAGTTGGTGCTTAATAGGTAAAAGCAAAATTCGAACATTATCTTCTAGTGAATGCTTTAAATGGTTTGTTTCTGCTACTTGATTTTCAGTGATTCTTTTTCTAAAACTAAGCAAATTCATGGCGAATCTGTTTGCTCTCCTTCTCTTCAGAAGGTTGAAATGTAACCATGTCATAGTCCACATTACACCATAATCTACCCAGTTATTTTTGGGAAGTGGCAGCTAAGCACTCGCATTTAAACTCTTGTAATGAACTTTTGAGCTGACCCGGGTGGGGAGGTCACTTGCAGGCATTTCCCTTAACTCCTCTTCCTTCAGCAAGCATCAGCGTATCTGTTGGTATCACTTCCCACAAAATACAACACTCATGTGCACAAACAACCTGTCTTTCGCTGGTTTGATACAGACATTACCGCGAGGCTGGATGTACCTTGCAGCAGGCTGAGTACCACACAGACCCACTTACAGTTTTGTCTTCATGCCTCCCTACTCCCAGCCACTTCCCTGTGTTCTGGGGTGTGTGTTCTGTCGCTTTCCCTTCACAGATGAGAAGAGCACCAAAGTGAGATTCACTAAATGACTTGGTAAATCAGGAATCACAAAAAGGAACATCCTGTTCACATGTTATCTGAGCAATTCTGTCGTACCTGTTTGTACTTTGAAGTTTTTTCTTGGAGTTCTCTTTTCCCACTAGGCTTTGGGACTTTTGGGTGGAAGTTTAACTTTTCCCATCACCTTCTGTTTTTGTTTTTCAAGGGCACAAAGCTTTCCTGGGTAGGTAGTGCTTCTCAGGAGTCCCTGCCTCTCCTGCTGTCATGTCCAGACTCCACGGATAGTCTCAGCTTTAACCTGCTCTTGGATGCTTTCTGGAGAGCTGAGACACCCACTTTAAACCCACTCCCTTGTTCAGCCCTCAGAGATGAAGTTTTCATACTTCTCTGCCCACTCCTGCTGTGTGCTGCTTTCTAAAGACCCTCAGAAATCCTGAGGGTCACTTGCTCCTGGCAGCAGATCCTCCACGCTAGAATTCTTGAAGTCTCACATGTCCTTTGGCTCCACTGATTGTGGAAACCCCAATTCTGCTCTCTTCCCCAATCTTCTTCCCAATTCGGGCTCTCTCTTGACCTGATTTACCCCGGACTCGCTGCTGCAGACTGCTGCACAGCTGACCTCCAGCTTGACAGTGGTTGCTGCACGGTTTCTCTCTTCCCTCTGCTCTCTCCAGGCAGAACTGCAACCTCTGAACTTCTGGTGGTTCACGGTCCACAGGTGCCATGGGGTGCATGCCAGGGAGCAGCTCTCTGTGCCTCCTGGGGGCTCTGGCCTTGCTCCTGTGCCCCTCCAGCTTGCAAGGTGAGTAGGGTGGTTGTGAGGGCACAGGGCCCCAGGACAGCCTACAAGGAGGCAAAGCCAAGAAAGAGAAGGCAGTTTCCTTATTCTCTATTAGGAATTTTGATGATGTGGCCAGATCCTAATTTATACTAATTAATAGGAGGAGAATTACATGATTTTATCAAGTTCGATTCTTTATTTTGTTACATTTTAAACTTTTTATCTTATCAGCACATGCTCACAGTTCACAGCTTACAGTCACCTTGGGAAGTGGTCATGCACATACCACAGCTTGTTTTTATTTTTTACCTCCCTCCTTCCTCCTCCAATTCTCAGATTGTATTTTTCATTCTTGTTGCGATCATTAATTTTAGCGCATGTTATAGCATATCGTGTTTCCATTAACCGAGGCTACCAGGTTCCTGTACACGGCCCTTCTTTATTCTGCTCATTTCCCCTTCCCCTCTCCTGGCCCCTCGTGCTTTTCCCCTTAGCTCTCTTCTATGTCACAAGAAGTCTATCTCCTCGTCTCATTCTATCCATCCTTTATTTTCCCCTTTGTTTCTACTTTGCCTCGCTCAAATGAGAGATACCATCTGGTGCTTAAGCTTAGGTGTCTGTCTTATTTCACACAATATTGTATTTCCCAGGGTGCATCCATTTTCCTACAAGTGTCTCAGATCTGTCATTATTCATAACAGAGTAATATTCCACTATATATATATAGATACCACGTTTTCTTTATCCAATCACCTATTGATGGGTATGCAGGCTGCTTCCAGGATTTTGCTATTATGAATTATACTGCAATAAGCATTGGTATTCAGATAGTTGGCTCATAGGAGATTTCTAATTTCACTTCTTTGAGAATCTCCACACGGATTTCCACAGTGGTTTTACTAGTTTATATTCCACCAACAACGTAGGAGGGCTCCCTCCTCACCACACTGAGGCAAACGTTTGTTATTTTTGGGTTTCTCAATGATTATCATGCTGGAGTAAGACAGAATCTTAGTGTTGTTTTAACTTGCATCTCTCTAATGGTCAGAGACATTGAACATTTTTTCATGTATTTGTTGTTAAGGTCAATCATTTATTAACTAACGAAGTAAATATTTTTAGTGGTACAATAAATCATTAATTTCATTTTCATAATGGGAAAGTTTACTTATGAAATTTTTAAAGGTTTTTAATACTTTTAGCTATATACACTTACCATTCCTAGAGTAAAACAGATCTTGGGTCTGCGTGGATTCTGGGGATCTACTCTAATAAACAGGTAAGAATAATTCTAAAGAACTTCACTACATCTCAATATGAAAATGTTTTTAAGTGAGTTATTTATCTCTTGCTATATGTTTACTAGTTTTTTGCCTCCTTTTACTGTCTGTAAAGGAAATATATGATCATTGTCTCAAATTCTGAGAAAATCAACTAGAATTAGTAAGGAAGGTGCATAAAAGTTCTTTGTAAGCTTTGAAATGTTATATAAATACACACTTTTATTTTTGCAATTGGTAAGTAATTTCTGTTATCCACGCATTTAAAGCAAAATTTCCCAATGATTCTTCTCTGTAACCGATTTGAAAACATGAACCACCCCTGAGGTTAGTGGAGAGAGTGCTTGGGTGCGCACAGCCCTTGCCAGCGTTTGCAGGGCAACCCGTATATGTCCCACGTTTCTGTAGAAGACGCCTTCACCCAGACCGAGCTTCACACTGAAAGGGCTTCCCTGGCCCACAAGTGCTACGTCCTCTTAGCAGAGACACGTGGTGCAGGGATGGGCTGTGCACAGCGGGCCACGCGGGTCCCACGCGGGTCCTTCTCACCAGCAGTGTGGCCTCGGGCAAGTTGCTTCCCCTCGCTGTGCTCCTGTGCTCCTCATCTGTAAAGTGAGAAAAATGATAAAGTTTGCTTTGTGGGATTGTTGGGGAGGGGATTACACAATTATATAATTTTGGGGGTGCTTCAAGCATCGCCTGACGTGCCATCACACACACACATGTTTTGTTAAATAGCTTAAAGCATTGAAAAAACAGCTCTACACAAAGTGAGCAGGCCATTACACCTTCTCCAAATACACACATATGCACCCTTGTTCATCCTCTCCCATGGCCGCATGAGAGGTGGCACCTTCTCCTTGTGAACTATGCCATGTTGTTTCACAAGTAATGAGAGAAACAGGGAAGGATAAGCATTGTCTAGAAGACCTCCTCATGCTACGGCTTGGAACCTTGAATGTCCCCATGGGTCCACATGTGAAAGCCTTGGTCCCAGCATGGCACCAGCGGGAGGTGGCGGACACTTAAGAGTAGGGCACAGTAGAAAGTCCCCTTGTCACTGAGGGTGGCCCTTATGGGAGCTGTGGGACTCTGGGCCCCCTCCTCACTCTTTCCCTTCCTGGCCATATTGTGAGTGATTTTGCTACAGCACACACTGACGCCATGATGTCCTGCTCCCCATGGGCCTGACAGCAACGATTCCATCTGATCATGAACTGGGCCCTCTGAAACTGTGAGCCAAAATAAGCCTTTTCCCTTTATGAGTTACATATCTCAGGCATTTTATCAGAGTGATATAAAGATAGCATTCCTTGGTGATAAATCTGAAAAAATTCTCAGCTAGATAAGTGGCTTCAGCCTATAATCTCAGCACCCTAGTAGGCTGAGATGAGAAGATCAAAAGTTCAAGCCCAGCCTGGGCAACTTAGTGACTCAGTGAGACCCTGTCTAATAATAATAATAATAATAAACATTTAAAGGAGTAGAGTTGTAACTCATTGTCAAGGCCCTGGGTCCAATCCCCAGTACTGTAAAGCAAAATTCTCACTTTCTGTTTCCAAGGTTGCAGTCCCCTCCCTGAGATTCCACATGGGCACTACACATACATAATCGGATACCTGGCGCTCACTGCCGAGGTGCAGTATGAGTGTGAGGAGGGATATGCTCTGGTTGGGGCAGCCGCACTCTCCTGCATGTTTTTCGGATGGTCGTCACCAGCTCCTCAGTGTCAAGGTAACCCAGGCTCCCCGGGTACAGCAGCAGCACAACAGAGTGGCTCCAACAAGACTCAGGAAAGAGCCCATGCAGCCTGAACAGTCTCCCTGGTCCATGACGTGTGCCATTCTCAACGGCCATGAAACAGCACCCTCGTATTTTCTTATGCACCCCAGCTCCATTCAAAAGAAAGTGGACCTGTACTGGTCACCCAGCTATAATGGCAGAATGAGAACAGTGTTCATAAGGACATTGTTTATGTCATTTCATTGTCAACAATGCCTAGACCTAAGTTGCTGGTACTGCTCTTGTTCTATATAGGAGAAAACCAAGGCAAAAAGTCCTGTATATAAGTAAAGAGTTCCGACTCTAATCAGTTCACACTGGCTTTGCCCCTTAGAAGCGCTGGGTGTGATCTGGTGAGGTACCCAGCTTCTCGATACCTCTGTCTCCTCATCTCTCTGGCCAGCATGTCCAAGTCTTCCTCAGAGGGTTGCCGAGGCTTACGTGAATGCAGCATGCTCAGCACTAAGCTGCCACGTAGCAAGTACTCAGGAAGTGACAGTGATCCTGACAGTGGGGTAGTGGCAGTAGCAGTGTGGTAGCCACAGTAGTGTGAAAAGAAAGGTGGACTTCAACAGTATTTCTTATCCCTCTTGTTATCAGGATTGAAATGTCCTTCCTTTGAGATGAACAAGATGGTAAGGTAATGTGTTCTAATTACAGCTTTGTGCCTAAAGCCAAAGATACCAAATGGAAAGCTGTCTGTGGAGAAGGAGCAGTATATCAGCCCTGAAACTACCACCATCCAGTGTGACCCTGGCTATCGGATGCTTGGCTCCCCGAGGATCTCCTGCTCAGACAACGGGTCTTGGAGCCCAGCCGTGCCCAGCTGTGAAAAGGTGAATAATGTTTAGGCCACATGACACTCATCCTGCCCAACTTTCCCATCTTGAGACAAATTACCAGACATCTGAAATTTCAAGGAGGACAGGTTTGTTTTATTTCAGTCCATGGTTGGCTGGTTCCCATGCAGAAAGAGGATGGCAGAGGGACATGGCAGAGGAAAAGATACTCAACCCTTAGCAGTCAGGAAGCAGAGAGAGAAAGGAGGAGCTTAGAACAAGAATACACCCTTCCAGGCCACGCCCCCTGACCCACCTCCAATCAGGCCCCTCCTCCTAAGGGCACATTCGGCTGAGCTCACCAATGGGTGAATCCACTGATGAATAGAGCCCCCACCATGAGCCAATCACACGAGAATACTGAGGAACATTTTAGATCTAAATCATAACAACACCTTAAAACAGATTACAGATCAGACGGTTTATGATGAAATGAGAAAAATAACAATGTGTCCTAAAGGATCGAGTCACTGGGTTAACGTGTATAGCGTTTAAGGTTGCAGTTCTTATTGTACTTCATTGTTTCATAGCTGGCCAGCCCCAGTGGGCAGCAGATCTTAGTAACACGATATTGTGGCCCCAGCTGTGATATGTGGTTGGCTTTGGTTCAGTTCTGGTCAGTGCGCAGAGCTCACGGAGCAGGTCTGTCACACACGCCTGACCTTCTCATCGGCCCAGACTCCCCTTGCTGCTTAAACTGATCCTGATCGTTGCTACAAAGAGATACGGATTCAGCTGTCAGGAGAGCCTGTCAGGACTGCCCATCTGCCGTCTGATCTCTCTCCCCTTACAATGTTCCTCCTGGCGTGCGGCCTCCCAAGAGATGCATCACCCTTTGTGGGGAACGGGGAAGCTGTCTAAAAGAGTCATTTTGGTTTTCTTTTTCAGCAAGCTCCTGAAGATCGGAACATCGTCCAAGCTGGCAAAAACCTCTTACGGTGTCTCCCAAGTCCCAGGGACTCAAAGGTGGCCCTGGAGCTACATAAACTTTCTCTGGAGATTGAAAAACTGGAGCAAGAGAGAGACAAGGGGAAAATCATTTAAATATACTGCACTTCTTCTCCCAAGAAGGTGAAGCAAAGATTTGCTTTTTTGTACAATGAAGAAAAATCCCCAGTTTATCAGTTCCACTTGAGCATAATCATTTATTGTAATAAACAACTTTGGTAGAACTTGCTAATATGCATAGTGACGCTGGAGTGAGAAATTATTAATAATTTATATCCTCCACACTCTGCTTAAGTTTTTAGACTTCTGGATTTGGCAGGCTGGCTGAAATAATTACCTCTAAAAATAATTTTCCCTGGTGTTGATAAGGTACTGGGGTGTCCGGGGCTACCTTCCAGGTTCTTGTCCTGTTCAAGGAATTGCGCAAGACAAGCAAAAAATGCAGTGAAGTTTTACATTTATTAAAGGTATTAAAGGTAAGAAGAGAAGGGAAAAGAAGTGCTCTGAAAGAGAAGAGCTCTGCAAAGGGAGTGTGAGCCCATCGCAGTGACAGACGTACACCTGCAGAGTGCAGCATGATCTGGTAAAAATGCTCACATGGCCAGGAGATTAATGGCCACTGTCTTTTTTACCCCAGTACTGATATCAGATGTAGGCCATCTCATCAAAATCCCACCTGATCTTGTGCCAGGAAAATTGAAGACAGCGTTCTCCGATTGACACCAGGTGCAGGGCTGGGAAGCTGCACTGAGCATGTCCAGAGTCTCTGTGATTGACAGGTCTCTGTGATGGATAGGTCACGCCCAATTGGCCGGCCATTTTGCTATGCCCTCATCTCCTGCCTCATTTCTCCCTGAGAGACAAAAATTCTCCTAATTATTTTTTTAATTAATTTTATTGGCACATTTAATATACACAATATAATGACATTCATTTCTGGGAATTTGTACCTTTACATAATCAATCTTGGTTCTTATTTTTTCACCATCCCCTTGCCCTGTCTTCAACCCCTCCCTCCCTATCTACAAAGACTTTGTTTTCATTATGTTTCATTATGTTGCCTGAAGACAGGGCAAGGGGATGGTGAAAAAATAAGAACCAAGATTGATTATGTAAAGGTACAAACTTAGTTCCATTCCCTTCTTTCCCTTCCAAGTCTCTGTATATGTTTTTTCCCAAGGAGCTGTTGGCTACACCTTCTTGGGATGATGTGCTCTCTAATGTCCTTGGGATATTGTGGCCCACCAGTTGGATTAAAAGCAAGAAACCTGTCAGAAGACAATGAGAAAAGAGTTAGTAAACTGTTGAGCTGAGAAGGGTTGGTGAATTTGTCAGGAGAGTGATGGGCTGTAGTCTGGATCACTCGGAAGCCTTGAATAAACTTTACCATTTGGTTGGGGGTGCAGGGCCCAAATATGAGTAGATCAGAATATTTCTTGGTTTGTCTTAAAAGGTGAGCTATAATGAGTCCGCAAATTAGAGACATTAAGCTTTATTTCCACACTCCTTGAGAGGAGACAGCACGGTGAAGAGGGTTATTCAGTAAGCTACCCAGGGCCTGAGCACCATATCCCTAGGTCAAAAGCAGGCATCAACACTTGAAATCCATCTTCAAATCTGTAAGGATCCTATAAAAGCCTAGTCATTCTTGGATGGTTGGATATCTGCAACCAAAAAAAAGGGACCTGGACTCCAGTAGTTTCCCCTGCTCCTGGGACCTCCCTCAGGGTTGAGTTGAGAGATAGAGGAGTAGGGAGCTCCACCATGAGTCTGTGTTGAGGAGAACCACCCAGTTGCCAGGGAATAATAGGCTCTCTCGGGAGCTGGCTCTCGTGGAATTTCTGAGTCACTTGAAGGGAGAAGACTGGTTTGCTGGCCTGAGGATTATAAGGAAGTCAGAGACAGTAACCATGCGGTTGTGTTCATTAAACAGGTAGGAGAGGCCCTTATTCCCCAGAGAGACAGGTGGGCATCTGAGGACCAGATCTTCAACAACATCACCTTCCTGTTCATCAGGGTCTTCTTTAAGTACCATGGTTTCTGGGCCTTTCCACCGATAAAGAGCCATAAAAGCCTGGACATGGGGATTTTACACCATCTTCCAGGCCTAGGGCAGAAAGAATGTAACCGAAAAATAGTATCATTTCAAAGGCCATTCTGCACCCATCTCTAGTTCGTTTCCTAATTCATTCGCCGTTGGGGAGGATCAGCTTCATGGTGAGGCGTCTGGTCTCTGGGAGTTTCCGGTGCCTGTCCTGGGGCTCATGGAGAGAGAAGCCTCCCATGCGGAAGGAGGAGCCCTTCTGAGTTCACAAAGCCCTCCACCGGGACTCAAGTACTAGGAAGCAGATCTCTCCTCACAGTGGCAGCAGGGATGCCCTGTGTATTTTTGTCCTTAGCATTCTCCATACCGTGGCACACTGACTTCCTAGAGAGGAAGGTGAAGCCCCCACGACCACCAGGGGCCCCCTCAGAAACAGGGAATGAAGAGCTCAGGGTGCAGCCTCCGGGGCGACATCCCTTACTTTCATCTCAGTAGTGCTTTGGTCCTTTTTTAAAAAAGACAGTAGAGTTGAAACTTTTATCATTTAAGAGAAGAAAAGGAAAAAGGAAACCCTTAAAATGTGCTAAGTGCAAGGCATTCTCACACCCGGTTGAGCTCTTCTTGCTGAGTATCCGTTCTGTTCAGGCCTTTGAGAGCTTTGTAAAATCACCCGCGTTTCTGTTACCAGGACGGCTCCCTGGAAAAGTGACCCAGGGCTATTTTCCCTACAGTGGACAAGTTCTCCATCCAGGCGACCACGGAATGTGCAGCCCTGCCTGCAGCAGCTCCGGGCACAGCCCCGGGGCAGGAACCAGCTGAGCGACAGAAGTTGGGGGAAGCGGCGGAACTGCTGACTGTCCCCAGGGCTACCAACACTAGTGACCCCCTGGGGCCTGGCCCTCCAGGGCCTCACAAAGAACCAGAGACTCCCAGCGAGCACCCCCTTTCCTGGGACCGGTTGTGCCCTTATCTGCATGCCCCGCCAGCCAGAGGAAGCTGGGGGCTCAAGCACAGGTTCCTGCTGCCAAAGGCCTAGCAGCACTCGGGGCCAAGCCCCGCCCCACTGGGCTGGGCTGTGGGTGCTCCTGCCAGTGCCCAGGGAGGGAAAGCATCCCAGCCCCGTGCAGGGCCAGGGGTGGACGCACATGCTCGGCTCAGCTCCACAGTGGGTTCCGAGGGACGTATTGGCTACAGGGAAGGTGTGGGTAAGTCACACTGGGCTAGAGAGTAGAGAGAGGTTTTCCTGATGCAGCCATAGGGGGTTAAGAGTTAGAGATCAGTTGGGGAAAATGACTTGAGATGAGATCATGGACACTTCCATTGCATGGGGAAACAAAGGAAAAATGGATGGTTTATTAGTCATTTCTTCATTGCCGAAACAAAACGTCTGACACAGGCAATTTAAGGAGGAAGGATTTATTTTGGCTCATGACTTTGGAGGTCTCAGACCATGGTCAATTACCTTTCATGTCAGAAAGGCATGACAGAAGTAGGCTGTTCACCCCAAGGCATTCCAGAAGCCAAGAGCAGGGTAAGAACCAGAGAGGAAGGAAGGGTCCAGGTTCAAGTATAACCCCACGGTCCTCCTCTGATGCCCCGCCAAGGCGAACCCAGAGTCCTAGTAATCTCAAGGCAGTCGACTTGACAATCAGGATTAACCTTCACAAGCGTGGGCACCCTTTGGTCATCTATCAGGGGAGCTTTTTCTTGGTGTCTAGTCCCCTAGATGTAAGGGAGAAGGGCAATTTAAAGACAGGCAAGAAGTAGGAAAGTTTGCATTTCAAGAAATGCAGAAAAGCCTTGGAGATGCTGTAGGAAGCATAAGAACAACCTGGTTAAATAGGGTTAAAATTTCAGAGCATCCCCACTAAGGGCCCAGGTGAGGATGGCGTGGTACCATCTGCTTACTTTTATACTTTCTCTCCAAACTCTGTTGACGTTCAGCACAGGTCTCTGATTCACTCAGGAATGCATTTTGTCAGAGAGATATGAGGAAAGGATAAAAGAGCAGAGATGTTTAATAAATTGATAAAAATTGAAATGGCGAAGCATTGCCCCAGTTGGGAAGGAAGGAAGGAGGCTGATTAATGGTCGTATCGAAGAAAAAGTGTTCTGTGGCAAGAGATTATGAAGAATGAACAAACTGAAAAGGGCAAAGTTCATGGTTACAGAGCGGAGTGTCACAGAACAGCCCCAAGGAAGGCCGGGGAGTCGGTGCTCAGGGAGGAAGGAGGTACCGTGTCACGGAGCCTGGTGCCCAGACACTGAGAGCCCAGGCTCGGGCTGAGATCACCTCCCGACCTTGCATCGTAAAGGTAGGAAACAATGATGCCAAGAAGGGGGTTGTATGTGGCAAGGCGTCATTCCGTTCTCCTGAGTCCCTGAGCAGACTGCTATTGATGGCCTCCTGAATCCAGGTATGGTGTCTAATAATGAGATCCCTGGCTCTCTGGAGACCGAGACTCCCCGCCTGCTCCTGCCTCCTGGGACCTAACATTCCAGCACTGGCCACTGGTCTGATTGATCAGCGCTCCGGGTCCCGCAGAATGGAGAACTCAGAGTCTTTGCTGTACGTCTCTGTTCCCTTCATCACGCTGCTTGCTAGTTCTAGTTATACCCCGTGTCTCTTCACTGCCATTGGAAAATAAGGTACCAAGAGGACGGAGCCTGCCCTCCAGGAGGTGGCAGCCTCTGAGGGCTAATTAGCGGAGAC